GTCAGTAATCATAAACTTTTATATCTTCAAAGCATTGTACAAGCATTAATTAGGTGTAGGCAATGTTACACTGCCCAGTGTAATAATGTCGGTATTTGAACAGTCCGACATTATTGAATGTGCTGTGCTTTGAAGTTAACGCTTTCACATGATACAGAACTAAAAGGTGGTGGACTATGTAGAGGAAAAAGATGCTATCTTCATGTCAGACTTCGTGGAAGGGTGACTCATCTAGAGAGCAAGTAATTGGGAAAACAGACAGACTTGTTTTAAGAGTCATTGTCAGAGATGAAAGCATTTATTTGTAATAGCACAGTGCTTGGGATTGCTGGTTTGGTTTCATTAATGTTGTGTTCAAGTTTCGTTCTGTCACCTACAGAGTGAAAAACCACAGCTGAATTAGAAATCAAATTCAATGCCCTTTTTGTTTCAGGTACAAATTTGTTTTCTCAGGCAGCAGTGTATAACCCATGGAAGAGAACTGAATTTACCAGGGCAGCGGCAGTGCTGAATGTAATGCAAAAAATCTGGAAGTCTTCCCCATCCCATCCTGCAGTAAAGGAGACTTCACTTCTAAAATTGTTAGAAAATCTGTACCATGACGGAAGAATATGACCAACAAAGATTCCCCCCCCCTCCCCACCTCCCCCGTAATGCAAACAGCTAACTGGTACAACTTTTCATGCACAGATAATTATTTTGCAGGCAGGTAAAATTCCAAACTTCTAAATACAGACAGTTGGTTCTTAAATATGCACTTACATGCATCTTCCATATTCTCTGATGGTATTATGTATTCTATTACCTATGGTAATTTAATTGTCTGGGACTGCTGGATAAGTTGTATACAGCTAAAGTCATTATGCTTAAATTATGAACAGCTTGTTCTTTTCTTGTTTTCAATATGTTCTAATGTTTTGAAACTTGAAACTGTTGGAAACAATCATGTTTTAATTTCTAAAAAAATTTTACAGTTTTTGAGATGCTTACAAAATTGTTTTTAAAAATACAGTTCCAAATAAAATTTGAACAAAAACTAATTTCTTTGTTTATAAAGCTTTAGTTATCTTAATATATTGTATTGTTAAAATGAAAGGGGCAATTTTTGACTGAATGTGAAAAAGATACTTATTCTGTCTGCAGGATGTGAAAACACAGGGCTAAACTGTCTGTCGCTGCTGTGACTGAGTTGTCTTTTCCAAAATGTGGAAAAAAATGCTATTTTACCTATTTTAAAAGTGTTAGTTGATGCTCTGAGACAAAAATCACCCTCAAACTTTTCTCTCAGGAAAATGATGAACTGAAGTAACTAGGGCATGCATCACAGAGTCCTGCGGGAAGAACTATAGTAGCAAGACAAGCCTGGAGGGGAGAGGGCGTTTCATTGATTGCTTTAACTGTGTTTTGCTTTAATGATGTGAAAAAGGGATTGAGGACGTTGTCCTAAAATGAAATCTCTGGTATTGACTGTGTTATAATAGCATATTTTAAAAGTTTCTCCTTTATGAATGCAGAATAAAGCTGCTGAATGCTGAAATAGATTTTCCATATGTATCTGTGTTTGGATATATTTTTGTACCCTGCCTCAGTGGTGTATATATTCCAACCCAGAGGGGCAGTTTAGTCATCAAATTTTTTACTTGGTGCTGAAAATGGTGCATTTTTTTAGTGTGAAAAAAAGGTCATAGGAAATAGTGACATAACTCTTTTTGTGGACTCGCTATTAAAGACACATAAGTAGTAGCAACCCAACTGAACCCTTACGTTTTGTGAATTTCATTTCCAAAAATTCATCAGCTGCGGAGATCTGGACATAAGGAGAGTACTCAAGGTGTAGCGGTAAATCCAAAGGGAAGAACCCTGGCTGCTAGAAGATGGGTGTGTTAGGGAGGGAAAAGAACAGGCTTAAGAAATTGCGTATGTTCTTCCCTTTGCATCTCACCTTGTCTGAAAGGGAAGATTATGCAAAGACAAAGGGGGGTGGGGGGAAAGACTTACTAGGATTCAGTTGGCTACCTGATAGATTTGATCTGCCCTTTAAGTCCAAAGCGCAGGCATTGGTCTTCAAATTTAGTTAAATAGAGCTCCAAAAATGTAATGTCACAAAAATAAAATTCCTTCCTAAACAAGTGATTTCTTTATTTTTGGTTTTGTTTCTTTGGGATTACTTGAAAATTTCTGCAGTTAGTCTCTGATCAGAATCTCACTTGGGGCAATTAAGAACGATAAACAGAGTTGAAGCTATCTTTATTAACACGAGAGGGAGACGTGGAAAGGTAATATATTTGCTTAGTGGGATATCTATTCTATGCACAGCACACTGTGTTCTCATTCCCATTGTTGATTTGTTTACTGATTCCTGTTCTTTTAAAGTGATTAATAGTGGGAGGGAGAGGGTTTTCCTGGATATGTGAATTACTCTCGAGTTTCCTTCCAGACTGTGATCCTTTGACAGTTCTTTCATGCAGCAATTAAATGTGGTATTATGCAACGTGGACATCAACTTTCTCATGAGAAAAGGAGGAACCACCACAGACTTAAAATACGAAGGGAGGGACACCTGAAATTAAACCACTGAAATGAAATCCTTTAAAGGAGAGAAGTCGAGACCTGCAGTGGTATGGAAGGTAGGACAATCAAGGGATCGTCGGCCTTCTCCGTTTCAAATTAATGTAGCTCATACCTTATTCAATGAAACAGGATCTGATTGATTACAGCAGAAACAGGTTGGTATGCTGTTACACTGCTTGTTCTTTCGCTTGCCAGCAGGCGGCTGTCAAGTTCAGGCAATGGGTTTCGGCTGGCTGTGTTGAAACTACTGAAAACCTGTTAACTGAACCTTACAGTCTACGGTGATAATTCATGAACTAGTTTTAAATTAAAATTCCTTTAATGAGATTAACCAGTAATCCAGGATACTGATTATGTTGAAATGGTAAGGCAGATGTTGCACAACTGTGTATATATTTGTGTTTCTGATCATAATTCAAAGTCAGATGATAGTAAAATATTTTAGCAAGTCTAAAAATGGGTGATGCTGATCCTTAGCTACGCATTCATCCACCATTCATTTTTCTACGGCTTGAATTAGTACCGTGGCAGACTCCCCATCTTTCAATATTGATACAGTATGTCAATCCATACCCTCTGCTTGAAAGCTGCTAGCTAATCGATGCAGATAGCAGTTACTGTTGGAGTCTTTGGTTATCATCTCAAAAGTAATAATCTTTATGCCTGTAGATAATATGGTAATGAAAAATTTTGACTATCGGAATTCACCATAGCTATGCCTAACTCTGCATGTTAGATACAGCTCAATGTTCTTTTAATGTAAGGAAATGTGCATGGATGGGGTTGGTGGGGGAATGGAGAAGACGTGGGTTAGGTGAACTGGAGATATCAGAAACTAAGGTAGCAAAGCCCTGGCATTTATGGTTATGTTTTGCTATAATTCTGAAAGTATGTGCAATGAAAGCAAGTGGATTTATAGTATTCAAGCAGGTAATGCAAGCATTAAAGAACTGAAAATCATATTTTGAGGTCATGATTTACGGGTATTCCCTGATATTTTGTAATTGTCCAGCCTCCAGCTTGGGATACAGTTGTATGTTATCAAAAGGAAATGATAGATTATCATGTGATAAGTCTTGCTTCACTGGAAGAAAGCAAATTTCTGTGAAATAAGAGGCTGTTTGTACTTAGAATATTGCTAGTTGATGCTGATTGACACCGCATTTCCTCTGCTACGTATGGTGTGGAAAGATGTGCTCTTGGCTATAGTGCAGGCAAAAAGAGTGAACACAGGATATTTCATAAAAGCAGATGGAAGTTCTCCTTTTCCTCCTATTTATAGCTGGCGTAAGTAATGTCCTTTCAGTTCCGTTATCCAATCGCTGGTGATGTCTTTGTTTCGCTTGCCGAGACGAGAGAAGAAGATGAAACATACCTTTCTTCTGCTGTATATGTATTTCTACTGAAATGTATAAAATGCGTTTCAGCACAGACTGGAAAAGATGGGGGTACAGTTCTTCCCACAAAAATTCAGAGATAGGAGAAAAATTAGAATTGGGTCGCCCGAAGCAGTGGCTGAGGCTGCACTAGTGCAGTTTTCCTTCTGCCTTGAAGCAGGGGTGGTGTGGTCTAACTAATATAGTTTCTTTCTAGTTTTCTGCTTTAAAAAAAAAAAAAATCAGTACTCGGAGTAAAACTGTAACTTTATTTTGCCTAATAGTTGAAATAGGGACCCAGTGGAAGTAAGCCTCTAGTCAGATGCGCAGCTACAAACTCTTTGCACGCTGCTGGTTGCAGTTAAATAACCACCCTCTGGGAGACGGAGGAAGTGTGGAGAACTCAGTACAAGTTGAAGTGTCAAGACACTTACTCTTCTGTCTCAAAGTATTTCCTGAGCTGTAAAGTAATGATTATCCACTTGTCACATGGAGGCATTATGAACATTAATATTTTTAAAAATTAGAGCACTTGGACTGCTGGTGATGGCAGAAATACATGTGTAAAGGCACGGGGGGAGGTAAATTCTTTTGGTTTTCAAGGGAAAAGATAATACTTAGGGTTTTTGCAACACTTCATTTTCTTTGTGGAGTAAAAATCCAATTTTAATATGACAAAGAGACTGCTGGCTAGCAGAGAGCTAGCAGAGAAAAGGATTAATGGCACCTCACACTGAGAAAGAGATATTTGGAAGTAATTTGTTTGGTCCTGCTGATTTTTGTGGCAATGGAAAGCTAAGCTGTTTCTCTCTTTAGAAAGTGTGCCCACAGGGAGTTGCCAGACAGCTTTTCTGCCACTCCAAATTAAACATGCAAATTGCTGTTCTGCCATTATAATATCCTTAGGTACACTTGTAAACTCAAGTAGATTCTGTTGAGAAGTGAACAGAATTAACAAAATATGTAACTATTGTAAAAACTGGAATGATGTGGATTCAGTCTGAAAATCAAATCAGGCAGTTTTCTTTTAAAGCCTGCATTAATTAGGCAATGATGGGGAAACCAGCTAAATATAACAGTGAATTTTCTAAGCTAAAAGTAAGTTGTCGTCATCTTCCAGAAAATGCTAATGGTTTACAAGGATACCAGAACAATGCAATTTATCATGAAGCCTTTGCTGCATGTAAAAATTACTTAAATATGTCTTTAATGTATTCTTGAGTCCCTTTAGTGAGACTTTTTCTCCTCCCCACCCCCCCCCTCATCCACCCCACCATCCCCCCCACCCCC